TTGCCATGCAAACCCAATACAGGTATAAAAATTCTCAATACATTAACAAGTAAGATAAGATCACTCATTTTGTGTAAGCCTTGTTAAAAGTCCTGCTCTTTGTAGCTTACTGTGGTTAGCAACTTTGTAAGAGGAAGAAATGCCTGTTTCATCCCTTTTGCAGCCCATGTGTTTTTCCAGGGAGCCTTTGTCTTGTCTGATGCAATGGCCTTCTCTGCTGTATCACCTGAAAAGATTCCTAGCTGTTTCTTAATGATACCCTGTTAAAATGCCTGGCAGCTGTCATTTACTGGCATCCCCAGCAAAGCAGAGAAGCTTTTAGCTGCTTTTATGTGCCTATCATTGCACTCTTCAGCAGGCCCAGACTGGTAAAAGTCCAGTGTTTAACGAGCTAGAATAGCAAGAATTTGTACTTTAAATACATACAGAAGAGAGCATATCATACTGCTAATCGGCTCACCCACACACATGCACGCCCAGGTTATCAGCACAACGTCTTTCACTTCCTTTATAATGTGTCAGGCCTGTCCTTTGCTCACATACTGGTTTAAAACCCTAGTCATCTATCACCTGCTTTACTGGAATTGTTTCTGTCTTTCAGCTCTACCCTTTTCAAACCATGTTTGTGTAGTTAACTGCCCCCTCCTTTCCTCAGCCAGTTCTGAATATGGCTGACCATCCTTCATAGCTTTCATCTCCTGCTTCCTTTTTCGCCCCTTATGATAGCTGCAGGTTTTCCTCCTTTTCTTTTTATTGTTTCCTGATAGGGGTTTGCCACTGCACAGGCATGCGTCCCATGGTGCCCCCCCAATACATTTGCTGCTTTCCCACGTGCCCTCGTGGCTGGATTCCACTATGATGCTTTTTGGGGTTTTGCTATTTTTAAACTCTGTTTTTCTTTAGTGCCCTGAATATTTGCAATGGTATGGAAATATTAAAAAAAAAACAAAACCCACAGAGGAAATGTTTGCACCTGTGGACTATTCCACTTGTCTTTACTTATTTATTTGTAACATGCAGAATATTTGACTTATTTGATTAGAATGCGGGGAAATAGTTGGTTACAAGCATATATGTCGATGAGTGGTGTAGTGATTTATACTCTTCTTCAAAGGTCCTGCATAGGAGTGCAACATACCTGTTTTATGCCATAAAGTAAAATCCCAGTGGTTGTAAGTAAGTGCTGCTGGTAGCTCAAAAATGACTGAAGACTTGAGTGGCAGGAGTGCAGTAGCTTTCCTGTCTGTGAGGAATAGTAAGATATTTGCAATCATAGAATCATAGAATGGTTTGAGTCGGAAGGAACCTTAAAGAACATTTAGTTCCAACCACCCTGCCATCAGCAGGGACACCTTCCACTAGACCAGGTTGCTCAAAGCCTCATCCAACCTGGCCTTGAACACTTCCAGGGAGGGGACATCCACAGCTTCTCTGGGCAACCTGTGCCAGTGTCTCACCACCCTCACAGGAAATAATTTATTTCTAATATCTCATCTAAATCTACCCTGAAACAGTCTGTAGCCATTACCCCTTGTTCTATCACTCTCTGTCCTTGTAAAAAAAGTCCCTCCCCAGCCTTCCTGTAGGTCCCCTTCAGGTATTGGAAGGCTGCTATAAAGTCTCCCTGGAGCCTTCTCTTCTCAAAGCTGAACAGCCCCAACTCTGTCAGCCTGTCCTCACAGGAGAGGTGCATATCTACTCCATATAGAATGGCATATAATAATAGGCATATCTACTCCAATTGTTCACAAATCAAATCAAAGATCAGGCTTTCTCTGTTTCATAACTGTTTTTAAAATGAAGCAAATTACATATGTGAGAACTTTCTGTATCTAAAATCTGATTTAGTCTGCATGGGCATGCAGGGACAGTGCAAATGCATATTCCATATACAAATATAGTGAAAAATTAAATTAGTAGCTCTGTGCCCAATTTGAGTAATACAGAACTGAGCATACAATGTAATTATGCTCTCATGCATGTATACATTACACTGCCATATCTTGGTATGTGGCTGCATACTGTTGTGGAAAAGATTTTGTTGTGCTTGAAGAGAGGAGGTCAAGGCCAGAACTGATAGTTATTAATTGTGATTTTAAAATAAACCACATATTTTAGCTCTTTTGTGTTCTCACACTAATTATAAACCTATCTACTATATCTGTTAACATGATTTATAGTGAGTATTGTTGTCAGTCCCCAAAGTTTCTTTGCAGTTCCTGGCTGCATTTGGTATAAAGGCCAGGTTGGATGAGGCTTTGAGCCACCTGACCTAGTGGGGGGTGTCCCTGCTCGTGGCAGCGAGGTTGAAACTAGATGATTTTTAAGGTGCCTTCCAGCCCTAACCATTCTATGATTTTATGATTTGAGTTGACTCCCACTTCTAGGAGCTATCAGAGAATCTCAGTTCTCTTTGGGAAGACTTGGACAACATGGCTGCAAAGAGAAGAGGCCAGCCCCATGGACTTTTGAGTAGCTTCTCTTGAAAGGTGTAGGGGCAGCCATCCAAAATGTGTTTCAGTAGTTTTTAGCTTTGGGGTTCAGAAGCTGTTCTTTTAGTTTCTAGGTAGTGTCAATTAAGTCAAATAACCTTTTATTTTTCTGGTTTCATGGTGAGATGACTGATCCTTTTCAATTATGAAATTTGTAATAAAGAGAGAACACAAAATAAATTGTTGTCCTAACTTTACCTTAGCTCTTCCCCAGATTATTTACTGGTTTAAGGCCGAGTTAACAGAGGATTTAGTCTCCTGTGTTGGTAACTTAGACGCCTATGGAGAACCAAGCTATGCTGTGCTGAATTCCAAGATGAAAAGGACCTTATAACTCTTTTGTGCTCCTATTTTGTGGAATGGGTCACTATCCTCCCCCTTGCTTGGGTTTCAGGCCTGTTGGGTGAGCTTCTTTGCTGCTTCTTGTAAAGATAGTTTTGGACATCTAAGACAAATACAGTGGGGGTTAAGATGGCTGATGTGGGCTGGAAAAAGTATAACCAGGCAGTGAGCCCAGCTTTATTTTAAGGCTGATTGCAAAAACTGTCTTTTGGGTTGACTACTGCCCAAAGGTTTTTGCATTGCGATGTTCACACCCCATCCTACCCATCAGGGTTCTGCATGTAAAGGAAGGTTGGTCTGGATGAATTCTGGATTTAGTGCTCATTTGTACCACTCCAGGCATTTTTCCTAATATAATAGGGTAGAAGAAAGAGGATTTCATCCCATGTCTGGAAAATTAACATTCCACATAGATAACATTGATTGCTACTTACTGTCAAAAATATATTTAAATATAGTAGAGGTAGCATGAATAAGGTAATACTCCTTTGAGTATCTCCAGATCTCATTTTTCACTTTTCACACCTTTTCAGGCAAACTTGATGGTATTTGAAACATAGTAAAATGAGGTTGGAGAATTTGCAATTTTTGTTGTTCAGGTTGCAGACCACTATTTTTTGTCAGCTAGGTAAAGAACACCTGCAAAGACTTAACTGAGCTAGTAGATGTCTCCCACTCCCCACTTCATGATGTAGGAAAAAGTGCTTATTTTGGTTTTGTTTCTTGATTGTTTAACACCTTAGAAATATCAGGACTGTCACGTCTGGTCTTTCCTGTTCTTTGTTGTCAGACTTCTTGAATGACTCTGTAAATTAGGAGTTTTCTCAGGCCTCAAAAAAATGGGTATGCTGTTTATCTTTAGAAGGAGCTTTTGTCTGGGTGTCTTGAGTTAAATGAAGGGGGGCGAGTGTGTGTTAGGAAATAGAGTTAGATAGCCTGAATAAAAATTGCACTTTGATTAGAATTCTTTTCTCAGTCATAAGTTTTTGCTGGGTTTTTTTGTTTGTTAGTTTCTTTTTAATTTGAAAAGGGAAGTTTTTTGTGCTCTGGGTTTAATTTGTAGTTTTTGTTTTCTCTCTCTTAATGTGCTCTCAACACTTCTATTTTTTTATAATGTGGAAAAAGAATGAGAATAAAGCAGAACAAAGCTGTTAAAATAATCCTTTTCTTCTCTTTGTCCAGAGTCCATACGCTTAGTCCAGCGTATGTTGTCTTCCACTACAAATCAGTTACTTTTTTACTGTGAAAGCAGAAAAGTAAGTTAAGTTAATTTGGAGCCTGATGCTTTAAAAGGCTTGTGGATATCTTGCTAAATCATGGCAACCTGATAACAATTGATGCCCTGATGTAGTGTGCCTCTCTCCAAGATAGCTTAATATGCTTTCTAAAACTGAAGACTGTCTGTGTAAATGTGGTTGTGAATGTGCTTTAAGTATAATGTTATAAAAAGGAAGGATGATGGGCTGGTGTGTAAATGAGTGGAAAAATACAACTAATACTGGGTGTGAACTTGTTGGTTGAATGAAGAAATAGTGTAATTCAGAGTGAGCTCTGCTTTTGAACATGGTTGGTGTGTTGGGAGATGTGGAAGAAATTCCAGTTACACTTAAACATATGTGCATGTATTTTCCAGTTCTTCTATATAAACAAATAGTAAGTATGTGGGCAGATCAGTGGCTTTTAGATCATGCAAATATATGGATTTTGGTGGAGCTGGGAAGGAAGATCGACAAAATTAAAGCAGTGATACTTCCTTTGCATGTAAATGGTGTTCTCAAAGTACTGACAACAAATAAAGTGTGTGATTGCATTCATCTTTAAAGTATTTCATATGAATGAAAAAATCCCCAAACTCAAGATCATGGAGTTTACCCCTTAAGAGAGTTTTAGAGGAAATGGTTGAAGCAACTATCTGGAAAAAAACCCCAGAAATTAAATCTTGGCTGCATTGTGACAAAGAGATCTAGGCAGTCCTATGCTGGAAATGCTGAACACAGTTAACTTTGAGTTATGCCCAAGTGTATATCACAGTTGTTGAAGCGTTGCAGATCATTTTTTCAGATCCTCGCTTAAGCGGCTGTTTCCTGGGCGAAGAGCTAGAGAACAGCAGATGGACCAGCAGGAAAGAAAAGAGCCAATTCTCCTGCGGAAACTGGAACAGCAGTGGCCTAAACGTAGTGATGAGAGCAATCATTGGGCAGAAAGCAGAATCACCAATCAGAACGATGGCGTCGTATTTTTCCTGCTGGACTGTGTAGCTAGATTTCAGGGAGAAGAGTGATGTTACTGGTTTTATTTTTTGTGATTGGGGTGTGTGCAAATTACAGGAGCTTGGGCAGGGAAACCATTCAGTCAGTCACTAAGTGGACTTTCTAATGCCTCCTGTTAAATTTACTACTTTTCAAGGTGTTTCCTTTCAAAGTCAAGTTACCCTTGATCTTTGATAAAGTTCTTTGCTAGTGTTTTTTTCTTTTCTAGGTAAAGAAGTTAAAAGCCTTTGATGGAGAAGTATCAAAACTGTCTCAAGCTGATTCCTTCATGTATTTACTAATCCAGGTGCCAAAGTAAGGAGATAGTAGGTTTATTCTGTTCATGGTAAATGTTCTCTTTTGGCTGTCAGTTCTAAACTTGTCTGTTTGTGTGCTTCAGCTATGCTCTTAGGATTGAAGCCATGGTGTTAGAGAGGGAGTTCTCACCCTCCTGTGCTTCTCTACAGGATGACATGAAAATTATAAGACGGGCAACAAAAGGTAATTAAGCATGTTGGGACATGCATAATACTCTTGTTTTTGTTAGCATGTTAATGAGTCTGCATTATGAAGACTAGAGCTTGAATTTCAGGTACCTTAGCTATTAAAAGGAAGCTAACTCCCCTCTGACAAATGCCATCAGGGTGTGCCTGGTGAATCTTTGCTTCCAAAATCAAAAATCTGGAGACTTTGGACACCCTAGTAATGAGTTCATGACCAAAGTCTACGAGCAATGTGTCTGAAACTGACAGAAGCAAAGGGGTCCATGGCCAAATTAGGATAAATTGTCTTTTGAGTACAGTTTGCTCATTCATGCATCACTGTCCCTCTGATTGAATGTAGTTATTATACCTCTCTGCTCACTCTTTCAGACATCCATAGAGAAAATCACTGTGTGGTTCCCAAATTTCCCTATATGCCATTGCCTTTTGAGGTGGCAGTATTGATGGTCTAAAATCTCTATTATAGACACTTAATACTATTGCTGTTACTTTGTCTTCTGATTTTATTTTCTGTTTCTCTACATTTCTCTTTTGTTCTCTACATTTCACAAGTTTTGAAATGCTGTAACTGGGTATTCATAAGGTAATCTGGTGTCTTCTGCACTACAGGAAAATATTCATTCATTTCCTGGTTTCAGTTAAACAATAATGCTGATCTTTTCAAATGTCTTGAGTGCCTATTTGTCCTGTTCATCAATATGAAATTCCTATTTCATGCTGGCATTTTTTTACAGGCTACTAGAGCACTGTTTAGACTGTTTCTAGTCATATAAAAAGGCACAGTGGTAAAAATATTCAACTGTGAGCACCAGTGCTTAGGATAGTAATTTCTAGTGAAAGGAAATTGAGAAAAGCCTGGTGTGTTTTTCCCACCAATGACTGAACTAGTTCTTCTTGAGACAGAAAAAGGTACCTTAGCTTCGGCTGAGGTTTGAGTTGGGCATTTTATTGGGATCTCTTTCAAATAATTGTTCTTTGTGTTTTGAGCAACAGACATACGTGAGGGAATATGTTATGTATAAAAGCAGCCGCGCCCTATTGTCCTTCATGTCCTTCACCCAAGACATCTGTGAACTGATTAATTCATTCCTTCCAGAGGAGACACTTTGGTCTCCAGCTCCTGCATCAGGCCAGTCATGCAAATCAGACTGACTGAGCTGCCCTGTTTTCAGTCCACTCATGTCATGTGGTCTTCTTCGTTTGGTCTTTTCACTTCAGGGTTTGTTGATAGCCCAAAGTTGTTTAGGAATTATGTCTACTTTTCTATTCCATCTCCTATGTTTCTTTCCTTGTAATTAAGCTGAGAAAATATTTATTTAAATTCTAATGCTGATAATCACTAAGGGTTAGGATGGTCTAAATAGCCTGATGGATTCTCATCTAGCCTGCAGATGGATGTATCTTATAGTGACGCTGAGCAGGCTTTTACTATGCAAAATCTTTAGAAGTTGCTTTCTCCTGTTGGTCTTATGAAATTTTGTATTCTCTTTTGTATTCTCTCCTCTTTCTTCCTCCTTGCTTCCTCACCTATAGCTTGTTAGATCAAAGGTTATTTAATTAATTCTGTGGTTTTAGGCTGCTAATACTGAAATCCAAAGATACAAGGGCTGTCTGCTTCCAAAATGATAGATCAGTGTATTGTGTTCAGCAGTTAAATGCAGAGTATATTATAGAATGTGAACTTGAAGCAAAATAGTTTTTAAAAGTATTTACACTGCAATCAAAAGGATTCCACATTTTATTTTGTTCATCAGTGTAAAATATAGTACCTTATATTAAAACCAGCTTGTTATTTTTTCCTTACCATATGGGCACTTGCAAATTTGGAGTTATTTTGCTGTGGCACTTGTGTAATGCTAATTTATTAACTCTTTACAGTACTGTATTTCTGTATCTTATTTCTAAGGCAAGCCCTCTGGTGACTTTTAAGCACACATTGTTTTGTGTTCATATGTGGCTGGGTGAAAAGGTGTATGAGTTCGGGTAGAGTACTACTGTGCATTTTGCAAAAAATAGAAATATGTACAAACCAGGCTTCTGTGATAGCAAAGCTTTAAAAGACAGTTTTATTCCATTTGATTCTGCATCATGCTGAAAATAATTTTGTGCTAAATCATCTTTGATGTGATTGAAGTAAAATAAATGCTGCTTGGTGATCATACAGAAATAAAATGATGATTCATAGTGGGAGTGGGATAAGCAAGGAAAATTTAAACATTGCCTGTTATCTTTTCAGGCCTGATGGCTAAGTCTCCAAAAAAAAAAAGAATAATTGTTCAAAAGCCCAATTCCAGCAGATGGCAAATGGATCCTGCAGGGTGCAGAACACTTGCCTCACACTGGAATTAGTAGGTGGTGAGGATACTTAACCACTTGCATGAGACACTTCACACATTGCAGGATTAGGCCCCAAATGTTTTGTTAGCTGCTGGGGGTTGCCTTGGAAATACTACACTTGCTAAGCTGAAGTCTGAACATATACTTGAGGTTTGTCAACTGTGCCTGTGAATTTGAATTATATAGTACCATTTTTTTTTCCCCATGACCTTTTCAGTTTGTTGTAGTTTCCTGTTAAAATAGAAATTTTCACCTTTAAAAACTGGAGATTAAAAGAAGTTTGGTAACTGGCTGGGTATATTTCTAAACAAACAATTGTTAGACAGCAATTTTCTTGTTCCTTACAGAGTTAATGACTTGTGAAGAACTGCATTCCATATTGCACTTGGTCCTTCAGGCTGGGAATATTATGAATGCGGTAAGTGACATCCAAAATGGGGATGTCTGATTGACCAAACTTCCTTGTTAGTGTTGCAGTCCATTGATGTCGTGCTTCAGCTGTTTGCTCCTTTCTTTTTAGGGAGGTTATGCTGGCAATGCTGTTGGATTTAAACTGTCATCACTGCTCAAGCTGGCGGACACAAAAGCAAACAAACCTGGGATGAATCTGCTGCATTTTGTTGCTCTGGTATAGAAAAATTATTTTGCTAGTATAAGTAGCTGCTACAAATGTAGAACCATAGATGACAGACAATAGAAGGGGCCATATGCCTCGGAAAAAGCAACTTTTTTTCAGGTTTGGTCCTCATCTTCACCTTTCTTCTCCTGTCACAAAATTCACAGGTTTACTTATGTTTGGTCATCCTATCCAGAAACCCATGGAGAACTTAAGTTTTTTATATAATGTAAAAGCTTGCCTTCATCTAACTTCCTCATTGTAGCTTTTCTCTTATTGTCCTGAATTCTTGCTCTGTTGAAGTGGCTTATTTTGATAAATATTCTTTCAGTCTTCTTGTTGAATCTTTTGAGCAGCATTTTTGGTACAGGTTGATGATTGACATGTATTTTTAAAGCTGATGCAGACTTTTTCAAATTATTTTTCCTTCCTTTCAAACTTCTTGATTTTAGAAGGGAGAGAATTTAAATGCTTCTATGTGTGACTTTGGTTGTCTGTGTACAAACTGGCTTAACAGATTTCCAGTCAGCTAACAATAGGGTATTAATTGATGTTTGTGCAGGAAACATCCTATCTGCTCGAACAATGGGCATCAGTAAATTGTTCTTTTACTGACATTCTCTATTAATACATGTGGCTTGTGTTCACTGGCAGAAGCAGCTATTATTGTACATTGCAAAATGGAAGCTGTTGTTTAAAGTTTCCAGTTCTGATCCCTGCCTTTTGTTAAGAGGTGTCCTCCACTCAATGTTGTTAGGATTGAACGGGAAGAAAAACAGTGCAGGAGAGAAACCTTAAAGTGCCCTCCCAGAGGCTTTAGAACTGCTGGACTTAAGGACTTCGGCATGGTGGTGGAATGTTAATAGATTGTGTGTGTTTTGGTTTTGTTCTCTTTATTTCAGGAAGCTCAAAAGAAAGATGCTGCTCTTCTCAACTTTCCAGAAAAAATTAGGGATGTTCATGATGCTGCCAGGTAAGTCAAAAGAGATCTGAGAACTTTATGGTTAGATTGTGATTTGGAATTTTCTTATTTGTGAAGCAATAAGGCTTATTCAGAGCAGTCTTGGCACAAAAACTGAGATCTTTACAAATGTTTAGTATAGCTTTGAGGGCTTCATTTCCATTTGCTAGCAGAAATATGCCTGCAATGTGCCCTCAGGTATGAGGTTTTTTATTACATGACCTCCAAAGTTTTTTGGTAGTTTTGTCTCTGTCAAATACATGTGCAGGTAAGGGATTGAACTAAAAGCATGTTGATGTTTTTCCTTAAACCAATTTTCATCTGTCTCTGAGCAGGCTACAATACTTTTCCAAATCTGGTACTAGGTAGAGGTACTGGCCCTGGCTTCTGTTAGATCTATTGTCATATTTCCTTTGCTTCTCCATTTCTGTCTTGAATGAAAAATCTGAAGAGTTTGGGGCTCTGTATTGTTTTAATCTTAAGGTCTCTAGCTACATAGTTTTAAACTGAACCTGATTCGTACCTCAATAACTGTACTTGCTTTTGTGAGACAATATGATTTAAACCCCAAAACTGGAACTAGCAACTGGAGTTCTATTCCAAATTTTGCCACTTCCTTACTCTTGAGCTTTGGGCAATCTATTTACATTCTTTTCCCAGCTGTAAAATGGATTCAATCTCTTAGATCTGCTTCATTGTGTTTAAGTAATGTCTGCAAAGGACTCTGAAATCTTCTGAGAAAAGGAGTGGCCATGGAGTTAATCAGAAAATTTTTGAGGGACCACCTGTGTGGCACTCTGCCATCCAGCCTACACACCTTTTTGGCAGTCAGCCGTGTGGCCTGCTGGGGAATGTAGCCTCCCTCAGCATTCAAGCCCCCTGGCAAACAGCAGGGGAACAGGCAGAATCCCAAATCTGGTGATATTTTTTTCTAACCACTTTGTTCTTTGATCATATTTCGTTAATGCTGAAAATTTTGTGTTGTAACTCATGCTGAAATCTATTCAGGGAATGCACTCTGTACAGGAAAATGAAACAAAACTAAATACTTGTCTCACCATTGGGCATGAGGAAGGTTTTATTAGAGACGACAGTCATGTACAAGTTGCTCATAAATCCTCCCAATTAGAACATGTTAAAACAACTACCATTATGTTCTATATTTTTAATTGTCTTGCCCTCTTTACTTGTAGGCCATCCTCTTCCTCCTTCACAGGCAGAAAAAAATAGCCTATATTTTCTACTGCTTTTCTTATTTGCAAAACCACCCATGATCTGCCCAGAACAGGGAGCTAACCCCTGCAGATGAAGTAAGCAGAGAAAAACCAGCAAACATTATATTCATTTGTGCATGCACTGACAATGTATCCATGCTGTCACCATCTGCTGCTGAGTGCACTTCAGTCAGTCTGCCACAAATTCTTCAGCTTTACTATTTTAAAGTTATGCTGCTGGTGAAATGGCCTTAGTTAGGAGCATGTGTACAGTTGTTAATTTTTATCATTTTGTAAACTAGTTCTTCAATTCCTAGGCAAAGCTCAGCTCTTTTGTGAAGGAAATGCTGTAGGTTTAGAAGCATTTTCTTTCAAAGTGACTGAGAGGTTTGGGTGGAAGCTCCCATTGTACAGAACATGAGTCTCCCAGGATAAACCTTAGATTACGTCAGATCAGAGCTCTTTCCTGTAGTCTTCAATTTCTGAGTTACTTCTCCACAGGAGCAGCTCTGCTGCTGGTATGTGGTCGAAGGATGAAATGTTATAACTGCTGGGTTGAGACTGTGTAGGCTGCATTGCTGTGACTGCTTTGAAGAACGTAACATGCAGTTCCATGATGCCAAATGCTACTGCCAAAATGGGCAGTCCTGTCTGACAATCCCTTGTGACCCCCTTTTTGTGCCAGCTACTGCACTCAGTCATGTAATCACGTGTAGCAAGCAAATGATCCATCTGGAAGCAAATTGTTTTTTTCCTTTTCCTAGGTTAATTTTCAGTACACAGATATGGCTGGCCGTCTGCAAAATGAGTGCTAGCACAGGCACCAGGGAGAGAAAAGTCACACCTGGCCAGAGGCAGGGCAGAATTACTGTTTCTCCTGGTAAAGTTGGGTAGGACTGGCTGGACTTAATTGTGAAACCACACCCGATGGGAATCTTTTCAGGTGGCAAATAAGAAGAAATGTGCTTATCTCTCTCCTAACTTTCAGTGTCTATTCTGGAAAGATTTCCTGAACAAGCAGGTCTTGTTTGATAGCCAGGTTGCACCTCATTTTTGAAGCATATTGTGGCTAACTTGTGTGCAACTCCTTGCCCCTCAGTAAACGTTCTCTATTTATACTATTTTTAGGTTATCCATTGATAATGTAGAAGCAGAGCTCCACTCACTGTCTTTCAAGACAAGATCTGTTAAAGACAGCATTCGGCGTGACCCAAAGCTCTTTCACCAGATGGAAAGCTTTCTCCAGGTTTGTAGGATATCTGTATTAATGTGTTATTGTCACCTGAATACTGCAGCATTCCTTAGCTAAACGTAATTTGTGTGGACATGTTAATAAACAGAAGTGTTGTTTTAATATGTCTACTCTATCGGTTGTACAAAGGTGTTCAACTACATGATGTTTGTCAAGTAAGAGTATTGGAAGGACTGTTTTTACAAGGAGGGATACTGAGTGTACATTGCCTGAGGCTTGTTAGGCAAGCGTGTTTAATGCCTGTGAAATGACTGATGAAGATCAGTGGTTAAAATATAAGACAATTTGGACTGGTCTCTGGTTTTGTATTTCACAGCTGCCCAAAGTATAGTATCTGCATATTATGTTATACTGGAGCATGTCAGTTTTAGCTGAGGCTGTGCTATGCGTATGAATCCTGGTTGTTGGGTGACTAAAGAGATATTGTTAGAAGCTGGAAAGTTAAGGGACTGTTTTCTCTACTAATTTACCCTTAGCACAGAGTGTATTATTCAGAGCCATACTATTACTTGTGGGTGGGTTCTCCTTTTCTTTTTTAGTACTTCAGTGACTTTATAGACATGAATGTGCGTAGCACTTAACTCTGAAGCAGCGTTCTTAGTATTTTCTGCGTACGTGGTGATGAGTGGAGAAATATATATTATACTTCAATTAAATGATTTTTCTGTTTCACGCTATAGATAATTATTAAAAGTAAGAAAGCAGGTGTTGAGCTGGAACTTAACCCGCCCTGATTTTCAACTTGCAAATGTAGTTAATAGTCCCTACAGTTTTTTAGGAGATGAGAAGTTGATGAAGAAAGGGGCAGGTTAAGATTGAAATGCCTGTCCTCATTCACTCTGAATTATTGGCTTTTATCCATTGCACCCAGACTCTTTAATGTTATGTTCCAACATGTTTGGGATTTTTTTTAATTTAATAGGTGGTTTTATGTAACACTACAACCTTGTTTAGGCCACATTCCAAAAGAAATGTTGGGAAAAAAATCATTTTACAAATGCATACCTTACATAACACTTCCGGATTTTGTTTCTAAATTACAGGTGATAATCAAGCTGATTTAAAAGTCAGCTTTCATTATCTCATCCTCATGAATAAATTACTGAAATATGTGGGAGGAACTAATTTTCTATGTGTGCTTTTATCAATTGTCCAGTTTATCTTCAATCCAGCTTTTTATTGGGTGCCCTTTTTCCCCTCCGCCCCCTTTTTAAAGACTAAGTAGTAAGATTTGTTCCTACCCTACTGGCATAATTTGCCAAGCATAACTTTTTGGCAGCATGGTTGGCTTAATTGGTCTCTAGTGCCTCTAGCTGCCTCTTCCCACCCCGTTGCTGCATTATCAAAAGCATTTAGGTGATAATGAGTTAGTGTCAGAGAACAGATTTGTCTGGAAAAAAAAAAATAAATTCTCCCCAGGTTACTTTGAGCCACATGTGGTCTCGGATTGTGCAAGGATGGAAGTGAATGGCTGGTGATGCACATAGGGGAGACAGAGGGGCAATTACTGAAACTGTTTTAAGCAGTTTTGCTGCTCAAAGTCTAACCACAGCCTTATTCTCTTCCTCCTGAGAAGTCCACTTATCTCCTCCAACCCTGTCTGTATAGCTCTACGCTTATGATTCAAAGTGCTACTTTATGAGGACATTTTTTGGATGTCTTAAAATATAGATGTTTCCAGCAGTTCCTTACCTTTCTATCACGAAAACCTTTTTTATTTTTGGGGGAAAAGTAGGAAACAGGAATGAATCTGTTTATGCTTAGTTGGAAGTGGCAGGGAAAATAAGGCATGTGGAGCTTTCAAGGGGCTCCAAAGTGGTCTGTCACTGTCCTGTGCTCTGTAACAGCTCCTTGGTTGGAACATGGATTTCTTAAGTTTCTAGTATATACGTGACCTGTTGTGCCTTTAATTTTTCTGTCTGGTTCATGCCGTACCTGTTTTTTACCACAGTTTGCTGTAAGACATCTGAAGGAGCTTGAACACCAGAAACGAGAATTACAAAAGGAGGGAAATGCTCTCATTGATTTTTTCTGTGAAGACAAAGAAACTATGAAGTTGGATGAATGTTTCCAGATATTTAGGGACTTCTGCATAAGATTCAACAAGGCTGTTAAGGTAAGAGCACTGAAGAAGATTGTCATGAAATAGATACTGGCTCACATGAATTAAGTTGTTTTTCCTGCTTGAGGGACATTTTATATCTTGTGTTATTTGATATATTTGCTCAAGTGGCTACTGCAGACTGCCCTCTTTTAGGCATTCCTTGCCAGAAGCCAGGTGGCAAATGGTCATTCTGCCCAGCCCTGCATGCAGTCCCGCTGCTCTCCATCTTCTGCTGCAGGCTGACTAGACCATTGAGATGACTTGTCCTGCTTCTAGTGGTCTCCTTCATTCTATTCTGGTGAGGAGGTTGGTGATTGCTAAGATGAGCAATGAAACAGATTGCACAGACTTCCTGACACGTGCTCGCTGTTTGGGCCCTGGACCAGTAATGTTAGATCACTGGAAAGGCCTTGAGATGTGGAACCACGTTACATGGACGTAGCAGCCTGAATCAGCACAAGCTTGGGCTCCCCACTGCTCTGCGTTACACTTTGCTGAGTAAAGTAAGGACTGTTCTACTTGGTTCTTTCAAATGCTTTCTATGGGTGAAAACTCAAGAAATGAAACAGGCCTACAGTACAAAGGTAGCTCATCCCCAGTGTGACCATTCATTTGCTAAGTACCCTGAATTGGTCCCAAATAATTCAAGAAGTGTGGTAAGATGAAGGAGCAGTATCTGCATTGGTTACAGTTTTGGTTCAGCAAAGTCTGCCCATTGTTACAAATATTTTCTAGGTCTTTACAAATAGCATGAATTGGATGGATCCACACTTTTTTTTAATTTTTTTGCTTTATGCAGTCTGCATTTGACAGCACTTTGTATAAGAGCTTTAGTTCAGAAAAGAGAGAACAATCTTGATTTATAGCAAGCTGACAGGATCTTTGGCTAACATGCCTGTTGTACTATTAGTTTACCTACCCTTTACCACCCAAGACAGCATGTAGTTGTGCATGTGTGTGAACATTATACAAATATATAAAACCAAATGGTGGTAACTATTGCAGACATCTTAGTGAGAGGTGACTTCATGCATACATGTTCAATTATTTGGAATTGGGGATTTAATTCATAGTCACACATTACAAGTGGCTGTTGGATAGCTGTTACTTTGAGGTCCAGTGGGACCTCTCTCTGTAGTAAGTGGTTACACTCTAAAAACGACAAATTAGTCTTTTATTTGCAAATATTGAGGAGATTTGCTTACTAGGTATTTTGTGGGGATTAACCTCTGTCCCTACAAAATTAACAGAACAATTCAGAATAAAGAGTGCAGTTCTGACAAATTAATGTGATGTGTGGACAGCACAGCCAGCAGTCTAAAAAGACAGCCACGTGCACATATTTCACATGTTTAAACATATTTTGCAATTTTTTAAGGTGTCTGTATGTGCTTTTTTTTAAAAATTATTTTTTGTTTGAATAAAATCTCCTAAAACGTGTTTTGGGTGAGGTTAAAATGTTCTGTGTCTAATATGGAATATGATAATAATCTCTACAACTATTTTTAACCATTTCTCTTTATAATAAGGTATTTGAAGTTGAGCTTTAGCATTTGGCAATTATTCATTCTGTAATTCCATACCTGTGAAAGAAAGCTCCCTGCCACAGACATTTTTCCTGAAATGCAAGGGTTTTTTTTTCTTTTTCCTTTCTTAACTGTTCAGGTTTCTTGGATCTCTGATGCATTTTATCTTTCAGGGGCCAGTGCAGTCTCAAATCCACTTTAAGAGGTGTAGATTGACCTATTCATCAAAAAGAGCTTCAGCATTAGGCTTTTGTTTACTGAAAGCTTTCAGGTGACTTCTAGTTGTGCAGCTCTTCTGTTGTCACAACAATGGGAAGATCAAACTAGGCATCTCGGTGCTTCAGACAAATATAGGTGCGTGGGTTTTTTGAACAGTGTGTCATTGCTCAGAACAGATTTAACAACATGCTGGAAAATTTTGTAATTTTTGAATCCTCTGTCAAGACTAGCTTCCCCTTTCTTTCTTTTGTTACAGCTGTACTGGCTCTAGAAAACCAGGTTCTCCATTTCAGAAAATAACCTGGAAAGTTCAACCGAATGTTCAGCTAGGTTAAATCTGAAGCATAGAGGTGACAGTTGAAATGTTGATATTCACAGTAATCCACTGCTAATGATTTTAGTAAAAAGGTGTTACTGTGTTGTCTTTCAAACACAAACTACCTCTTTCTATGGCTTCCTGAACCAAAGCCCCCCAGCCTAGCTGCCAAAAGCTCCAGCCTGCCCTGGGCAACTTCTGTGCAGTAGTTGCCAGTTTTTGAAGCCTGTAGTGAATAGAGATCCAAAACTGGACCGAGGCATTGATTAATGGTCCTTGAGTGGCGTCAGATGATGTCTTAAGTAATGATTGTGAGGTATTGTGTAAACTTTTCTATTTGCTTTCATATGCAATTAAGTAATAGCTTTTCACAAAATTTCCAATCAGTAATGTTTGAGTCAGAGGTACTGTACTTGCTGAGGAACAATTGCAATTGTAATAAGGGTGGATGGAAGGAACACATTGGTTATGTGGTCCTCAGACAAATTTGTCTTAAAAGATGGATGCAATGATGAGGTAGAGGTTTACTCACCTGATAAAACTTCCAACTTTAAACTTAGTGGGAACTTGAAGTTCCATCTTACAGCAGGAAATCTTTGGCTGGACTTGAAATCTGCTTGGGTTCGATAGGCCACGTTCTTGGTCTCTGCAGGGACTGGTGCATTTTTTTCTCGTGCTGACCACACTGATGTGTTGGCAGTATTAGTTATGCAGGGAACTGCTCCCCCTTTGGTTAATGGATGCAGGCTGTGGTTGCCATGGTTAATGGATGGAGGCTGTGGTTGCCCTGGTGATTTCACTTGGTGCATGCACGTGTGTGTGTGTGTGTGTGTGTGTGTGTGTGTGTGAATTGTGGGTTGGGAAGAGTGATAGCAGTAGGAGCTGACTTTGCGAAGAAATACAGGGAACAATAAAGGAGCATGACTTGTTCTCACGCACAGGACACTGTCCTCTGAGACATGTATTTCTGCTTTTCCTCATCAGGAAAATAGGGAACGAGAGATCCAGGAACTTCATAGTCTGCAAAGGCGAAAGGAACTGGAGGAGAAGCGTCGATCCTGGGCGGCTGGAGAGCTTGGGAGCTTTGGACGGAGCAGCAGTGAAAATGATGTGGAGATGTTGGCCAAAAAAGGACTTGAAGAATTTCTTCCCTTCTTGCAGCAGAGACCTCAAAGCCCTTCATACAGAAACCCCAATTCTAGACGTTCTCGACTTTCTTTGGGGATTACTGCAGACAGGGAGTTGCAGAGTTTCCTGGAAATCTCAAAAGATGAGGATCCAAACAAGTTTAACAGCCTTCCCCGTGCAAACACCCGACAAGCAAGACCAAACGTAGCCTGGACTGAATCCAAAGAAACAAGAGATCTCAACTTAAATACCTTGAACATACACCAACAGTCTGAAACCAAAGTGAAAAGTGGTGGCCTGCTGCAGGTGCCTCCAGCTCAGCCCAGTCACTTCAGTGGCTCAGCCGGTCCTGGTGCCCGTTACTCACAGAGAAGCACCGACTACAACATGCGCACTTCCAGTGTGTCCTGCGAGGAATCCACAGATATAAATGCTCTGGCCCTCGCAATTGAGGAGCGGGAACTTGTTAAAGGATTACGCAAGTTTGATATTCAAGGAGCAAAGCCTGCAGAGGATACACCTTTAATATATTTAGAGGATGCTGGTGGAACAGACTTGGAGACTCTAGATGATCTAAGCTTTCATTCCCTTAGCACTGCTGATGATGACCTGCCTCCAGTTTGCAGAAGTTCCAGAGAGGCCCATGACCATAAGGGCAAGGCAGTGGGTTGTAAGAGTGAAGCTTCAGAGCCCAGCAGCAGCAGCCCCATGTCGATGGATACAAGCGTTTCAGGAAGCAGGGAAGATGGGCCAATGTTCTATGTGTCAGATACAACAACCGATTGTTCTTTGACATTGGACTCTGAAGAGGTAAATGATTTTAAATCAGCAGGCCATGAAATAAGAAGTGAGTCTGGGAAAGCACGCTCTTCTCAGAATGATACTCAATACAGGGCTAGAACATTCTTCTCAAACTTGAATCCTGCTTCTGCCAAGGATCTGTCTCCTCACACTTCTGCAAATGATAGGGATGATGCCAATAGCAAGCACAACCTTCCTAAAGAAAAGCCCATAAAAAATAAAGACCTATCAGGACCAAAGAGAAACTCCCTAAAAGACAGATCTCCAAGCTCCTCAAAATCCAGTGGCACTCGCCCTAGCCACACGGCTCCTTCCAGACCCATAAGAACTCTGAATGCCTCTGAGAATGAAAGTATGAGGAAAGTGGTGCCTATTTCTCGGTCAAACAGAGCACCGAGCAGCGTCAAAAAGCCGGAAGCCAAGCCGGCACTTCGTGAAACTAGTACAGTGGAAAGTCGGCTGTCTCGCCGCAGCTCTGTCCGAGGCACAACAGACACACTGCCAAGAAGTCCTTACAGGCATAGCATGTCGGTAGAAGAGCCAAAGTTACAAAGGGGCACTGTCACCTCAAGCAGTGCTCATTTTGAGAGGGACAGAGTCTCTCTCAAGAAGCCAAGCTCCAAACCCGTTAGGAGTAACGTCAAATCAAAGGTAGATGAAATGAAGATGTGTCGCTCCAGTGTAAAACCGCAGACCCCTGTAGATGATACCAAGGTTGCCACAGTCAGTGTTCCCAAAACACCATCCACTATCCCAAACTTTGCAAGGAATACAGTGGCTTCTTCTTCAAAGCGTGCAAAAGTGGATCTATCCTGCTCATCCAAACCTCCAACCATCACAAGGTCTGTGTCCCAGAGGCTGCCTAAAGTGAAGCCAGTGTCAACCTCTGATGATCCGAGTCCGAAGGAGAACAGTGTGACTACCTTAAAGAGAGCAAATAGTGCCAGAGTGGTTGGAAGAACCATCCTGCAGGGAGAAGCTGTCAGCGCTAAAGTAGAACCTGCACCAAAGGAGCAGGAAACAGTGGAAAAGGCCTCTCTTAAACTGAAAGATGCAAACCGGACCACAATTGGGAAAATACTGAAGCCGTTACTGAAATAAGGGAGAAGGTTTCTTTCAATCTTGGAATGTGAACACTTGTTCAAGCACTGGATGTCTGTGTCCTGAAATTCCTTAAAACAGAAACATTGCCAATAAGCAACATCATGTGCTCGTTAAAATACGGCACATCGTTGGAAAAGGGCAAGTAGTTGTGTTCTGGTCTAAATCCTTTTTTAAGAATTTGAATGTATTTGAAGCTACTGTGGTGGAATGTGAGCGTAACACCAAATCTTTGCATATTTCTGATACAGAAGGTACCAAAAGCCCACAATTTTTAAGAAGTTAAGCTACGAGATGAAATGCTTTGTGACAGAAAACATGGATAAAGGCCAGTTTTTGTGTACATAAGATTCTTCCTCAGACTCAAGCCTTTGTGCTGTTTGGTTCCTTATGCGATGTCAAAGTGAATCCTCTGGAACAGTACTGAAAATTAACTTAGGTGATTGTGCTTTCCGTTGCTTCCAGTTCCCTGGATTCAAGAACTCTTTTTCCTGTTGTGAAGTCCATTGCTGGCAATTGGACAGACTGGGAACTGCTGGCCAAAAAATAGTAAAACGAGACATTTGCTGTTTGTGGCTGTCTTTAACCTCACTGAAGAATTTATAGCATGTTTTATGAATGTGTATGTATGTCTGGAGAAGGCTTTCTGCTGGGCAGGGGGCTTTTTCTTCAAGAACGTGGCAGCATTGTCTTGCATGCACAAGTAGATACGGCTGGTGCTACATCGAGTAGCACGGCTGGAGGCTGTGCCTGTTGGAAGGGCCATCAGTAACCATTGGGATGATGACTATTCCTGACTTGTTTTGGTCACAAGCAAACTTGCCAGCTTTTGGTCATACAGAAGTGCCATATATTTATGATACATATCAAGGGTGTTTGCAGTTCAAGTCCTGAAGGCTGCAATGTAGTGCCGAGCACTTTCGTACCATTCCATGTTTCCACTGGTTTATCTACTACCAAATTACTTGAATGTTGCAATGGCTCTGATTGAGCCATTAGTTTCCCTGCCGACACCTCCTCCTCCTCCTCTCCCTCTCCTTGTCAACATGAATATTTAGCATGAAACACAGCTTACGCATGACAATGTTTTTGTAGACTTCCTTGGTTGCTTCAAATGTGGTTTTTAATGTTAAAAGACTGTAAAGGATGAATTAAACTAGTATTTGATAAGCTTTTTACAAAATGAAAACACCTCTTTTTTTTCCTGCAGATACAAATTTTAACTCCTGTCAGATTAAGGTACAGAGAATGAGGGAAAACTTGTTCAGCATGCTGTGCATCTTCCCAAGAGAAATGTGTGTAGGTGGGGAGGCTGATCGCTGTTCTCCTAAGCATCTTATTTAAAAAGTTGTTTTTATTCACTTATCAATGAAGCCTCATTTAAGAATAAAATAAAAAAATAAAAGGAAAATCTCTTCGGACAAGTGACATTGACTTACTCGTGGAAGAGCTGTTTGTCTGCTCTATCCCTCAGTGCTGGGAGGGCGTAAGTCAATGAGAATGAGCCATTTAATCGCTCACATGCTTTTCAAGGGCTAGTATCAGGGACAGCTAGCTTTGAGTTTTGAATTTGGCACGGGGCCTTTAGCTCTTCCCACATACCAGCAAATCTTGATGCAGACATCATACCCAAGCACCATGAAGTATTGCATAGGGCCTCTTGTTTGAGTCTGCCCCACAGGGAGAATTTATATAGCCTGCTTTTCGGCAGGGACGAATTTTTGCTCGAAACCCTGTAAGCTTTTTGGATACTGCCTGCCTCATGGGTTAGATACAAAAGCATCTCCCTTCTTATTTGTATCTGTGTGTATGTATGCGCATCTGCAAGAGCAGATGATTGACTTTTTTCCTTTTTAAAAAAAAAAAAGAAAAAAAAACAACAAAAGATTTTATTGGTAGCAAGCTTGAAAAATAATTTAAATGTGTTTGGAATATGTAAATAAATTTCTATAAATCTGTGTAAAAGAAAAGTGAATGTATTTAATGGGACATTTATACATTTCGGAGTAACTCGGTAGTTTAATAAAGTTCCCATTTACTGGGTATGAGATTTGTACTTTCTCCTTCCTCTTATGCTCTTGGTTTTGATGCTGGAGATCTCAAGCAACTGGAGTCTGGGTGTAGGTGACTGTGGGAAAGTCCCAAAAGGAAAGGCTTTACAGCAGAAATCCTGGTGTTTAAAATACTGGGTTTGTTTTTATACTAAGGCACACAATTTAACTTCAGTTTCTGAGGCGGGACTTTCTGCACAGGTTTGGGTATAACGTGGAAGGCGTTAGATGGTAGATGCAGCACTTTGTGTGCACATTGTATGTTGTGGCCAAGATAAATGATCATGGCACTAACAAGTCTGGATCTGTCGCTGTCTTTGTGCCTTTTAGCTTAGCACGCTTTATTGAGAAATCCTGGTTTACAGCTCCCAGGACTCTGGAAATAAAGAATAGCCTGTTTTGCAGGAGCAGGTGGTGACTTTTACACTGCAATTCTGAATTTTTACATTTCGTCCCATTCTCCCTTTTTTTTTTTTTTTCCCTTCTTTATTGCATACAAAAGAACATCTATTCAGCAGAAAAAAAAGTGAAAGCCAGCCAGCCTCTTTGTCCTCAGAGAGCACTTCCTCCCCTCTGCTATGGAAATGATTTTTGGACTGGAATTGCTGCTATTTGCAAACTTGTTTAGCCCCTGACTTTTCTCGTTTGGTGAGCGCGTCTCTCCCGTGTAGAGTGGCAAGCACCTGCTGTCTGCCAGTGCTGAGTGATGGCTGCTGGTGGAATCTACGTGGGAAAGCCCTTCACCATCAAAAGGTGTGTCTCAAAAGTTTATGTTTTTTTAAACTTAATTTTTATTTCAAAAGGGTTTATAATTACCAATTCATTATTTAAACTACCAGCTGTCAGAGACAGCGATGCCCTGTAGGTTTAATTTCCCATGTCATGCAATTTTCCCAAACCCTAACAGGCCACGGGGCTAGCCTGGTTGCAGTCAGTTTTCAAGAAAGAACCAAAACCTTTTCTCCCATCTTTGTTCTGCCCAATGGCCGATGCTTCTGACTGTGACCGACAGCTCATCTGTCTCCTTTGGTGGCAGTGAAGTGGGGGAGACCAGGGGACCATGGGGGGATCTGGAGCTGTGAAGCTGGTGGAGATTGAGAGATAGGGGAAAGAGCTGTGGGAGTAAGAGGTGCTGAGTCATACTTAGAGGAATTTAATATTCACATCTCATGTGGGAACTGCATACAAATGAGGGGCTCAGTGCATCCCTCATTACAACAGCTCATTAAATTATCAAGAAAGAGAGAAAGAGTTCCCATCACACCTCCCACAGTGTACAAGTCCGGACTATGTCATTCAAAATAACCCATTGGTATCTTTCTCATCTTAGGGTATGTCTGCGTGGACGGATGCAGACAGCCACACGTTGGCTCCGACCTCACCAGACCTGAGCCAGCTCCAGGCTGGAGGCGTAGGGCGCGTTAGCTCGGCGCTGACCCCGAGCTCTTATACCCCGGCTGTAATTGCATACCCTCAGCCGGGCTCGCTGCCTCCAGCTCGCTGCGCAGCGGCAGGGCCACGCTGCTTCAGCAGCACTGCAGCAGAGCCCAGCTCTCCGTCCCCGGGAAGACCTGACCTCCAAAAGCCATTGCTGCTGCTACACGTGAGAACGTAATCCCTGCGAGAGAGGCCCAGCTAAACACAGCTCCTTTCAGATCTGGCTGCTCAGTGTTTTCCATTAACTTGATACATGCTGTTTACGTCCTCCTGCTGCCAGTGCCAGAGATAACTGCCTTGGGAACAGCTCCCTACAGGTATTGTTAACAGCTGCTGAAAACAAAGGAGTTTGTTTTAGCCACGTCACTATCTAAATAGCCAGAAATACATTACTTTTTTATTACTGGTAAGCCAATATTAAAAAACCTGTCTTGTTCTCTTGGCTGAAAGATGCATTCTGGAAATCTTGCATGCTGTTAAAGCTGGCAGCTGAGCAAATATCCTTGCAACTGTAAAAGAAAGTGACACTGAGGCAAAGGAGATGTGGAGGTTCTTGTAAGAAAGCTTGTTTCTCTTCCCAGTGTGCGATCGCCACCAGTATTGACTACTTGCACTTAGAGAAAATTGTTTCCAGCCAGTGATTGTTCCCTGCCATGTAGTTGGTTTCTGTGTCTTTTCAGGCTGAAGGCTGAGGCTGCAGGATACGCACTGCTGCAGCTAGCAACTTGCGCTGATAAAAAAAAAATCCTCATTAGCCTCCAGCTGCTGATGTCCTTCCTTTTAGCACTGAACCACTGGGGAGCATGGAGGGAACATCAGCACGTTGGCTTTAGTGGTGGCGTTTAGGGTGGGGTTTGCAGTGGCTGAGCAATGAGCAGATGCTTGGCAAGGGTGACCTTGTCTGCACGGAGAGGAGAGAGTTACAGGCGTTTCTGAGACCATTCACTCCATCTGAAGCAGAGGCTCTGGACAGACTCCCTTTGAAAAGAGATGTGTCTCTTCTGCTTTTGATCAGGTCTGAACAATAGCTCCTTTTTTATCCTATTCCATCCTTATTTATTGGGAAGATGAGAAAAAAAAAAAAAGCAAAAACCTTTCATGCCTCCTCTTGGGTCAAGTGGAGGAAAGACATGGATTCTACCTAATGGTTTTGGTTTTTGTTTGGGTTTTTTTTAAAAAAACAAAAATAATAGGACTTTGACAAGTAGAGCTGTTAGCTTCAAATAACTCTGCTGCACAGGGGCACCAGGTCTTTTCAGTGGCTGTAATAATCCTGCAGCAAAACGGGCATAAAAGCAAGAACTCCGTTTAGCTCCAGAGCACATCCAAGTGACTGTTTACTCTGAAATACAAATCCTAGCAACTGAACACAGCCAATGTTCATTTGGGCACCTAAAAGGATCTCTGTCTAGAAGATATTTGATTCCATTTCTAAATAATTGTGTACAATGAATTTTATATCCTATTTCCCTTCCATTTCATCATCATTGGAAGTAGAAAAGCTACCTTCAA